AAAATTCATTACTGTCCGTGCACCTCGGCCCAAATATCGGTAGAGATTGCTGGATCTTAAACCGGACTTTTAGTCTGAGAAGTGCCTTCTGAACGTATTTACGAATAAGCAGAGAAACGTTTGTACTTAATTACTCAAACATAAATTTAACTGCGGAATGTTTAATTGCATGCCCCAGTGGAATGTAGTTACTGACACCAGGACTGTGTACGAATCTACGGTTTACTTTTCTCTGATGCGTCAAGATTTATAATTTGATGAAAACGGATCACTTAAAGCTACTGCATTCTGCATAATAAAAAAAACTGGATGGCTCAAGGGTTAAGAGCTAAGTGAGTCGATGCATTCAATCCAGGATCAAGTATCGAGTATCAATCCTCGCTGATCTCAGCACTAGCCCGCGAGTTCTCGGGTTCAAACCCCAGTTGGATCAACGGATTCGCACTGCTGGTGAGATCCAACCAGGTCGAAACAGCTGTACAGTGCTTCCCAGCTTCTCAGTTGAGGCCTCATTTAAACGACGAAATCATCATAAGCAGAAATTGAAAAGCAATAGAAACCGGCAGTGTAGAAACTCTGCACAGAGACCGGTTAAGGTTCTACAAGAACAAGGAACATTCAAAACTGGACAATAGAGAAGCTATCCGTCAGCTAATTTCGGTGTTGAGTTCCAACGTCAGACCGTAGACAGCAAAACACACAAGTTGCAGCGGTACAAACTTTTCTAACGCATACATGCGAACATAACGTAACAACGACGATACAGTAACAAAGAAAACCATCCACATTGAGGAAATATGCCTTCTACACGAGCAGTCAAACTGTACCTATACTGCTAAATTTTGTGAAGAAAGGCCAAACTTCCCGGAGGGCAAAATTACGCTTGTTAGTAGTCAAGCACGATGAGATTTACCTTTTGTAGCGCTGCTCGGTTCGGTTCCGGATCTGAATCGCTGCGACTCTTCAATTGTCCGGTAAACTGATCACGGCGTTTGATGTGTGCATTCAAACGTCGTTCTAATTCGCTTTGAGTCCAGTCCAAGTCGTACGCCTGTGTGCGAGTGGGAAGGGAGGTGGGGAATTAGGCATAGAAATAGGCTTAGAAATAAAGAATTAGCTGATTAGAAGAAATGAACTAGAGTGAAACCCGAGGACCTCTGAACGAAAAGAATACTGTAATTCCAATTTCGTGAAACCCAGTGGAGTGTATACTTACTCCGAAAAATCGACCGAGCAATTCTAGTGTTTATCACTCGCTTTCCGAGATTAGTAGCCTGTGTTGAACATAGACGAAGAGCTACATTGTGGGTTTCTGAATTAGCGGTGGTTAGTAGAAATCCAGTTTCTTGCGTTCTGGAAAGAAACGGCTAGTGTTCTGACGTTATACCCTTCTGGCAGGGAAATGTGACCTGTAGCATCGCCTTATCTTGGTTTGATTCAACGAAATGTATGGTTCGTTGTAGACAGTCTAAAGTAGCTTCAATCGGTCCCCAGCCGCGGTACCTATGGGAGTGAACTGCATTCAGCCTTTACCCATTGACCTTTAACACGTAATTCAATATTGCGTTTGCAACTGGCGATCAGCGGAGTTGGCTCCCTTTACTTCGTTTTATGATAAAATTGCGAAATTCGTTCTACATTATTGCATCAGGTCATATGCAAATCTCGTTGTCGTCATTGTGTGTGAGAGACGCGGGGGATGGCAAAATAGATGAGGTTCACACACACACACACACACACACACACACACACACACACACACACACAC